GCAAACACAACCGCAACTCAAGGGGCTGTGCCTACAGTGTCAGAAACCAGCCCTTCGGCACTTGTCACCCTCACCCCTCCAAGGACCAATACCACGGCTGTTCAGACCACCACTCCCATGTCTGTTACCACGTCCCTGAGGGAAACAACATCAGCTGTGGACAGCATTACAGAAATCCTGGTGGGCAACAGCTCCACGAGCGTGTGGAGTAGTGCAACAAGGGAGAGCATAGTCCCAGTGCCTCGCACCACAGAAAGGGGAACTTCAACAGGCACTGCGACAGTGACAGTCATCACCCGTTCAACAACTAACACAATCACCACACCCCTGGAGACTACAGCCGGAAGAGGGAGCATCCCAACAGCTTCTTTTGTCGCCATGGCAAACACAACCGCAACTCAAGGGGCTGTGCCTACAGTGTCAGAAACCAGCCCTTCGGCACTTGTCACCCCCACCCCTCCAAAGACCAATACCACGGCTGTTCAGACCACCACACCCATGTCTGTTACCACGTCCCTGAGGGAAACAACATCAGCTGTGGACAGCATTACAGAAATCCTGGTGGGCAACAGCTCCACGAGCGTGTCGAGTACTGCAACAAGCGAGAGCACAGTCCCAGTGCCTCGCACCACAGAAAGGGGAACTTCAACAGGCACTGCGACAGTGACAGTCATCACCCGTTCAACAACTAACACAATCACCACACCCCTGGAGACTACAGCCGGAAGAGGGAGCATCCCAACAGCTTCTTTTGTCGCCATGGCAAACACAACCGCAACTCAAGGGGCTGTGCCTACAGTGTCAGAAACCAGTCCTTCGGCAGTTGCCACCCTCACCCCTCCAAGGACCAATACCACGGCTGTTCAGACCACCACTCCCATGTCTGTTACCACGTCCCTGAGGGAAACAACATCAGCTGTGGACAGCATTACAGAAATCCTGGTGGGCAACAGCTCCACGAGCGTGTGGAGTAGTGCAACAAGGGAGAGCATAGTCCCAGTGCCTCGCACCACAGAAAGGGGAACTTCAACAGGCACTGCGACAGTGACAGTCATCACCCGTTCAACAACTAACACAATCACCACACCCCTGGAGACTACAGCCGGAAGAGGGAGCATCCCAACAGCTTCTCTTGTCGCCATGACAAACACAACCGCAACTCAAGGGGCTGTGCCTACAGTGTCAGAAACCAGTCCTTTGGCACTTGTCACCCTCACCCCTCCAAGGACCAATACCACGGCTGTTCAGACCACTACACCCACGTCTGTTACCACGTCCCTGAGGGAAACAACATCAGCTGTGGGCAGCATTACAGAAATCCTGGTGAGCAACAGCTCCACGAGCATGTCGAGTACTGCAACAAGCGAGAGCACAGTCCCAGTGCCTCGCACCACAGAAAGGGGAACTTCAACAGGCACTGCGACAGTGACAGTCATCACCCGTTCAACAACTAACACAATCACCACACCCCTGGAGACTACAGCCGGAAGAGGGAGCATCCCAACAGCTTCTCTTGTCGCCATGGCAAACACAACCGCAACTCAAGGGGCTGTGCCTACAGTGTCAGAAACCAGTCCTTTGGCACTTGTCACCCTCACCCCTCCAAGGACCAATACCACGGCTGTTCAGACCACCACTCCCATGTCTGTTACCACGTCCCTGAGGGAAACAACATCAACCGTGGGCAGCATTACTGAAATCCTGGTGGGCAACAGCTCCACGAGCGTGTCGAGTACTGCAACAAGCGAGAGCACAGTCCCAGTGCCTCGCACCACAGAAAGGGGAACTTCAACAGGCACTGCGACAGTGACAGTCATCACCCGTTCAACAACTAACACAATCACCACACCCCTGGAGACTACAGCCGGAAGAGGGAGCATCCCAACAGCTTCTTTTGTCGCCATGGCAGAGCCAGCCACAGCTGCCCTGGCCGGCACCTACTCAGCAGAGACCTCTGCTGCTGCAGTGAGCGCCGGAGCGCATCCAACCATCCGCACCACCCTGCCGGAAGAGAGAGAAACAGCAGAGACAGCCGGAGCCGTGCCGGTGACAACTCCAGGGGAGTTGACGGCAACAGCCAGCACAACTGCAGACACAACCGCAATCCCTCTTCTCCCTTCTCGCCCAGGGGAGACCACAGGAACCGCCCCTGGTACTGATCTATCCAGAGCCGCCCTTACGATTTCAACAGAGCCAGGGGCCACGGCACCCACCAATGCCAGTACAGTTGCAAAAGCAACAACAGCAGCCCCTGGGAC